AATGCAGTTGTGTATCAAAATACAGTCCTGACGAACCTTGTGGAACCTGTTTCTCATACCATGTTCAATAACAGGCACTGGGTATTCCAACAAGATTCGGCGCCAGCTCATAGAGCGAAGAGCACACAAGACTGGCTGGCGGCGCGTGAAATCGACTTCATCCGGCACGAAGACTGGCCCTCCTCCAGTCCAGATTTGAATCAGTTAGATTACAAGATATGGCAACACTTGGAGGAAAAGGCGTGCTCAAAGCCTCATCCTAATTTGGAGTCACTCAAGACATCCTTGATTAAGGCAGCCGCCGATATTGACATGGACCTCGTTCGTGCTGCGATAGACGACTGGCCGCGCAGATTGAAGGCCTGTATTCATAAACACGGAGGTCATTTTGAATAAAATTTAGTGTCATAAGAATCTATGTTTTGTTAAGTTCATTTTGGTATATGAATGGTTACATAATGAATAAACTTGTTTCAATTATTTTACATTAAACATGTGACAGAATTTATGACCTGACTAGGTACATCCATAACCCTGGAAAAGACATTTATATTTATCATACAAATATCTTCCCTTGGCGGGATTCGAACCCGCAACCCCCTTGTGTAGTGACCATGTCACTTACCACTACACCAGACGGCCGTTAAGTGACGGCCGTTAAATAATATGGAAAAGCGCCAGATGTGGGTACTTACGTTTTAAGTTCGTTCAGCGTGATCTCCCTATTTGAAGTACATTGCGCCGACTTCTGACAGAATATAAGGTGTTCATTGATTTCGTCTAACAAGCTGTGAAATGAGACAAAAAGAAAAAACGTGTCATTCAGGATACAATTAAAATTAGTATTACTGTTTAACTATTATCATAAAATTATTTTCGAAGTTTCTGAGTGACTTTTTCGGTCATCTTCAACGTAAATGCTGCCACCCACCTCGAGATATGAGTTTTAAGGTCACAGTGTAGTATATACCATAGTATGCGCATTTTTTATTTATTGCTTTGATAGGTGGACGAGCTCACAGCCCACCTGGTCTTAAGTGGTTACCTAAGCCCATAGACATCGACAATGTAAATGCCCCACCCACCTTGAGATATAAGTTCTAAGGTCTCAAGTATAGTTACAACGGCTGCCCCCCTTCAGACCGAAACGCATTACTGCTTCACGGCAGAAATAAGCGGGGTGGTGGTACCGAATAGTTAGTTCGTCGTGGCCTAAAGGATAAGACGGCTGGTGCATTCGTATCGAGCGATGTAACTGTGCCTTCGAATCCCGCTGACAGGTATAAAAATTGATATAATGATGATGATGATGATGAATACGCGCTTAACAAATGTTCATAATGACGTCGTGTAATCAAATTCCATTGTAACATAGACCTCAAGTGATGTCTACGGATTGGTATGGTCACTCGTTCACCATATTAACCAATAAGAAACGCCCTCATATCTAAAGGTCGGTGGTGGATCATATTGTCTATGGGTTTTTCGAGAATCACTTGGCACTTGACATGTTAACACCACTTTTTTTCTTCCTTTTATGCTGATAGCCTTGAGAGGCTATTTCAGCTTCGCCCTAACATGTAGGTGAGCTCACGGGGCTAAAAACGGAGTGTTGCTAACACTGGCCTTAGCAAGAGCAGTGCTTCGCAGAATCTACCACCGGATCGGAAACGCGACCCACTGAGAAGATCCGGCGAGAAACTCAGTGGGCTGTATCGGTGGGTGCAACACCACTAGTTCTAGTTCTGTGTATATAAAACCCCACTAGCTGCACCCGTTCGCTTCGCTGGGCTTTTAAAATTAACATTATTATTTCTCACCCCCACAAAGATTCTCATCATTAACGCCCCCGCAACTGGTGTAGGGAGTCTAACACTCATATAAATATTAGCCTATCCATTAAGTACATGTATTTTCTACATGGATACCAAGTTTCAAGTCAATCGGATGCACGGTTCAGTAGTTATAACGGAACATCCGTAAAAACCACTGTTCAATGTTGGGTGCTCGACTGGCATGAGACTCTCGGGTTGTCAATTCCGGTATCGACCGGAGACGCGTGTTTTTCGCTTCCAAGTCTGGCGCGCACTATTAAACTGGCACCCAACGTGGGGCCTTCTAACTAGTATTTCGGAGGGAACCTACCTTATAATGGTACCTTAATAATGACACGTACTCATCGTCAGTCACGGCGTCAATGTGATTTCCAAGATGTTGAAGAGAAAACGGGTTCAACCGCGGGACTGACAACCCGAAAGTCTCATGCCAGTCGGGCACCCAACATTAAAACTGTACATTTATATATTAGTATAGATGAGGTTACTAGCTGTGGGTAGACAGAAAAAATCGCTAAAATCTCGTCTCACCTGGTGGGTATCCCGTTGTATCCCGGGGGCGCGTCGTGCTCGGAGACCAGCGCGTCCAGTAGCGCCTCCAGCCGCTCCACGAGAGCCGCGCGCACGCCCTCCGCGTACTCGTCGTCGCCGCTCGCCGCCGAACGGCCGCGAACGCTCGCTCGGATGATGTTACGCTCGCTTAGATGGACCTGCGATATCGAAAACATCTCATAGATCAGTGGTGGGCGAACATTTTTAATGGCGGGCCACAAAGTTTCAAGAAATTCTAGATAGAGGAGGGCCAGGTTATAGAATAGTACATCGTGTAACAAGGGAGAAAATAGGACATTTCCTCCCGCGTGTAAAAACGCCACCCCGTCTATTTCTGCCGTGAAGCAGTAATGCGTTTCGGCTTGAAGGGTGGGGCAGCCGTTGTACTATACTGTAACTATACTTGAGACCTTAGAACTTATATCTCAAGATGGATGGCGCATTTACGTTGTAGATGTCTATGTGTTCCAGTGACCACTTAACACCAAGTGGGCTGTGAGCTAATCCATCCATCTAGCAATAAAAAAAATTAGTACATTGTGGACCAAGGGAGAAAAGTAGGACTTTTTCTTCCGCGTATAAAATTGACACCCGAGCCGAGGCCCCCCCCCATACTCATAAAAAAACAATTTAACTGTTTTTTAATTTTTAAATAAACTACTACTAATTGAATAAGAACTGAAATAATAAAGAACTGTCTGATGAACTCATCTTTGTTTAATACTTCACTATTAAATTTTATTGCCTTTTGTTTATTTCACTTTTACACTAAACACAATATTGCAAATTACCCGAGCACAACAATGGCGGAGAATTTTAGGTGCGTGAGAGCAGACGCAGACACTAACGCGCATGCGCACTTGTCAGTACCCAGGGAGGAAAAGTTACACTTTCTTCCCTGTACAGCGGGAGGAAAACCGAACTTTCGGCGTAGGCAGGAGAAAAAATATGCATTTTGTATTAAAGTTTTTTTAATAAACAAAATACCTTTTACTTTTACGCCTCGTTAGGCGTGTGAGACGTGAGGCGTGTGATAGATAGGTGAAAAGAATGTTTTTTTCCAATAAATAAACTAATACCTGTGACAGACTGCCGAGATAATGATAATGATGGCAAGCTAATTATGAGATAGTGAAAGCTCAGAACACCCATGACGAATCGGTGCTTTCATTAAAAATGATTTCGTTTTTCGAAGATTTTCATTTACTAGTGATCCCGCAGTAGTCGAAATTCGACTATAATTAATCGAATTATCTATAATAATGTATCGTATATAAAAGATTAAAACCTCCGGGAAAAAAAATTATTGCATAACTTTTAAAAAACATTAGCATTCTGCGTTCATTTCATAATACTCCGCCCGCGCAATTTTCGTAAAAAGGGATACAAAGTTTTTGCTTCACTTATATAGATAAGCGTCAGATTTTATTTTACGCGCCAAAATGTTTAGGATGGATGGACACTCGGCGGGCCGGATTAAATATTTCCGCGGGCCGTACTTTCCTCATCACTGTCATAGACAAACAATAAAACCTTTATGTAATTACGTAATGTGTCTAAAAGCATTTAAACGGTTTTAAATCGTCACGGCTTTAGCAAGCAATGGAATGCATTTTTGACATACAAACATTTATTTTTATATATTATACGGTTTGGAAAAGTGAAACCGCACTGTCACCTTAAATTGTATTAAATTCGACATCGATCAGCGATATACAAACATAAATCTATTTTTTTTTTTTTTTATTCCTACCTAAGCTGAGAGCCTTGAGAGGCTATTTCAGCGTAACCCTAACGTTTGTAGGTGAGCTCACGGGGCTCAAACCTGATGACGTTGCTAACACGAACCCTAGCAAGAGCCGTGCTTCGCAGAATCTACCACCGGATCGGAAACGCGACCCACTGAGAAGATCCGGCGAGAAACTCAGTGGGCTGTGTCTGAGANTATTTTTTTATTCCTACCTAAGCTGAGAGCCTTGAGAGGCTATTTCAGCGTAACCCTAACGTTTGTAGGTGAGCTCACGGGGCTCAAACCTGATGACGTTGCTAACACGAACCCTAGCAAGAGCCGTGCTTCGCAGAATCTACCACCGGATCGGAAACGCGACCCACTGAGAAGATCCGGCGAGAAACTCAGTGGGCTGTGTCTGGGAATTAATTTACTCGTCGAGCCCTTCGTCGCAAGCGACGGGTTCGACGAGAACGGTGACCGGTGCTTGAAGTACCTAGAAGCACCGTTAGTGGATCGGGAGGATCCGAGATGACGTGTTTAGGGCGACGTCGACTGCTTTCCATTCTGTCCGCAGGATCGGGAATGTAGTTACCGGCGGCCACGGTGAGAGGGTTCTCGTGTCGTGCCGCTTTATCGAAGTGGGTAAACATAAATCAATACATTTATTTCTATATATACGGCTTGGAATGGAATTGCACTGTCACCTTAAAATGGAGTTCAGTTCGGAGTGGTTTTGCATAAAAAATCGAGATCTGTTCAAACCCCATGCTCTTAGTGTGGATTGCGTAGTTTTATTTATGCGGTAGGAGTGGTCGGGGCAACGATCATAGCTTTAAGAAGAAAAAAACCACTGAGTTTATGGCCATATCTTCCCAGTGGGTCGCGATTCCGATCCGGTGGTAGATTCTACGAAGCACTGCTCTTGCTAAGGCTAATGTTAGCAAATTCTCTCATGTTGAGCCCGTGAGCTCCACCTACCTGCCCGCGCGTAGCTGGAATAGTCCCTTATGCTACCAGCGAATAGTTAGGAATAAAAAAAAAATACATGTGTGCAATTCACACGTGGTAGAAGTGAAGCCTTCCAAAATTAAAATACAATTATCCTAAACGTCTTAAGTATATGTAAAATTTTGTCATTAGTAAATAATTGTAAGGTAGCGCCCTCTGTGAATTTATATTTTAATTTCACGTATAATCTTAAATTAAAATTCACTACAAGAGCTTTCATACACACGTTAGTATTAAAAAATCTCACAGATGGCGCTGTTTTAAATAGTATGTATATTTCTGTCTCATTCTTTGCTGACTTCATCCTACACATTTTTGTATTTGTGTCTCTTACCTGTCGTTTTTTCCGTTGCATCCGGTTTGAAATCACAACGATTCTAAAGAAGTTTTCACTTCAAAAAGCCACTAAGTTTATGGCCATATCTTCTTAGTGGGTTGCGATTCCGATCCGGTGGTAGATTCTGTGAAGCACTGCTCTTGCTAGGGCTAATGTTAGCAAATTCTCTCATGTTGAGTCCGTGAGCTCACCTACCCGTCATAGTTGGAATAGTCCCTTATGCTACCAGCGAATAGTTAGGAATAAAAAAGATAAAACAAAGTCAAATGCTTGCCATACAATATATTTGCAGGGTACCTCTTGTGACACGCTGTTAAGAGAAACAACTTACATAGTTTGAAACCTAGGACGACGAATATTTTTTGAAGTGAAACTTCTTTAGTATCGTTGTGATTTCAAACTCGATGAAGCGAAAAAATAAGTCCATAGAGACACAAACACATAAATGTATAGGATTCAGCCGGCGAGAGAATGAGATAGAACACATTAGACGTTCTCAGTGTAGTGTTTTTTTAATACAGCGCCATCTATGAGATTTTTCCTCTTGAAACCTCTTGTAGTGATTTTAATTTAGGATTATACGTGAAGTTAAAATATCAATTCACAGAGGGCGCTACCTCATACTATAAAAGATGATTTACAATTATTTACTAATGACAAAATTTTACATACAACCAGACAGGATAATTGCATTTTAATTTTTGAAGGTTGTGTGAATTGCACACATGTTTTTTTTTTCTTCGAAATACCTTACATGATCTTACCTTTAACTCTTTCTGCAAGTTGGCGAGTCTGCGCTGCAGCTCGTGGATCTGCGCGGCGTCGTCGGGCTCGCCCCCCGCCCCTGCCCCCACCCCGCCTCCGCCCGCACCCCCCGCCCGGCACACCCACACGCATCGCCGCGCCGCCTCCACACTCATCACCACTGTGTGCTGCACCTCCTGTAGACAACGTCGTGTTATTATTTATTTTGTTTTAAAATCCCCACACACAACACCGGATTTCGTTTCATTGGGTCGCGATTCCGATCCGGTGGTAGATTCAACGAAGATCTGCTCTAGTTATGGCAAATGTTCACACGGTCCCTCTGAAGCACCCGGGCGGAGATCGGATGTTGGGTGTGACGGTGCAGAGGAGTCGTTTGGTGCGGTAGGGCTCTAAAAATATTCTAGGGCCCGCGGTTCGCAGTCNTCCCCACACACAACACCGGATTTCGTTTCATTGGGTCGCGATTCCGATCCGGTGGTAGATTCAACGAAGATCTGCTCTAGTTATGGCAAATGTTCACACGGTCCCTCTGAAGCACCCGGGCGGAGATCGGATGTTGGGTGTGACGGTGCAGAGGAGTCGTTTGGTGCGGTAGGGCTCTAAAAATATTCTAGGGCCCGCGGTTCGCAGTCGTGGGTCAGTCCCATATACCCCGCGCGCTCCCTAGGCGCAGGGACTTCGTAGGAGGTTTGGCCCCGGCCCAAAAATAAAAAGTTCCTCAGTAGCCGAGACCCCCGAGCTCGCCCACCAACCAAGGCGAAGCCAGAATAGTCCTTCGAGGCTCCTAAGTAATTAAGTAGGTTTTTTTAAATGAAATATTCAAACATTCGAATCTCATTATTAAAAACTACTTATAGGGTTTAATTTTGCATGTAGAATGACCCTGTTACCACGATAACTGAAAAGTATTCGATAGGAAACACAACAGAGATACTATTATCAGTTCTAATGTCATAACGAATTCCATAATGAAAATCTGGTGACTTGCCTGTTCAACCACGGTGGTTAAGTAGGCGTCGCACGCTTCTTGAGGTAAGGTCCGGACGAGGACGTTGAGGGTCCGCGCCATCTCCCGCCTCCAGCGCGCCGGAGCCCCTCGTACCAGGCGGTAGCACGGCGGCGTGGTGCTGCAGTCCAGCGTATACCTGGAGACATTCAACGGTTCCACTGGTTCACTGGTGGTTCGATACGAGTAGAGATGAGTCGGATTTATTAGAACAGATCGGAGTATTAGGTGTTTTACGAGATTAGGTTGCACGTAATCCCATTTTGTCAATGTGTATAATCCACCTGTTCATATTCTTAAAACATAAAATCGAATGCTCAGCATACGCTTCCACCTGTTCCTGCGCTATCTCACTTATTTACACGTTGCAACGTATCTACAACACGTACAATCCCCAAATGCCTAATCCTCATAATTCAAATAATGATCAAACGATCACATTAATCAAATCCTAATAACGACCTCAGAACTTGAGATTAGTAATAGGCAGATTGAGATTGCTTGCTAAGTAAAGTATTGGTTGTGAATGAGAATAGGGAAGATTATGTGGATTAGGTATTTCTTAAGATTAGGAAAAGGTGGACCTAGTATCTGATTTACCTAGTACGACCCATCTCTAGATACGAGTAGGTAATTACACCGGGCATCTTAACCTTTAGGCCACGACTACTTCGAACTTAATACACATTTTGTTACGCGCTCCATTTATTAGTGGACGACATGACGCGTTAGCCCACTGAGTTTCTCGCCGGATCTTTTCAGCGGGTCGCGTTTTCGATCCGGTGGTAGATTCTGCGAAGCACTGCTCTTGCTATGGCCAGTGTTAGCAACACTCCGGTTTGAGCCCCGAGAGCTCACCTAAACGCTAGGGTAACGCTGATATAGCCTATGCTATCAGCATAGGTAGGAATAAGACGCGTCTATTGAAGTGTCAGTTACAATAAGGAAACTTAAATGGAAGTGTACGGGGCATACTATAAGAGGACAGGAGAAATGGTGTAAAACTATGGTGTAAAACTATAATGTATTGGTATCCGAGAGACAGAAAAAGAAACCGAGGTAGACCATTTAGGAGATGGGTGGACGACATTAAGGCAGTTGCGGGAAGCACATGGACCAGAACACCTGAAAATAGAAGTTTATGGAGGCAGTTGGAGGAGGCCTATGTCTATAATAGACAAACAGACAAAAACTAATAATAATTTAGGTAAAAAAAAAACTAATTTAATTGAAATAATAATTGTAATATGTAAAAAAAAATGTAGTTGTCTGAATAAAGGTTTTATTATTATTATTATTAAGTGTATTAAACACTGCCACGCCTGGGAAGACGGCAGGACACACTCCGGCGAGGTGGGCAACAATCGGCCGGAGCGTTAGGGACTATTGGGAGAGAAACCGGCGAACTATACGGGCATTGTCGAGCAAGACTGCTTTTTGCATTTGGGCCACCACCGACTTTTTGTTGAGACCAAGCCTCTCGAGATGTTTTGAGAGGCTTTNACTCAGACTGTCGCCCTGAAAGATACCCCGCTTAATCCTTATTAAATTCGGGGCAGCAGAAGAAGTCATCTGACCTGGTTGACTAAGAAACGTAGACCATTGACCCATGCATGAGCTAAGAAAGGAGCATAGTATGGGATTTATTTTATATAGCTCTAAAACTCTCATTAGCCATGTATGAGGCACAGAGTCATACGCTTTCTTATTATTATTATTATTATTATTATTGAAGTGTCACCAACCGGATAAGAGACACGATCCGGGAATATCCGGAAAATTGCAAACATCGGTCGTCTTAATTGTTTGATGGAAGGTTATCTTTGCTCACCATTTGTTCAGCAGTGCTTTGTCGTTTTCGTCTTCAGCTGCCTCCAGGGCCGCCTTGAAGTCTGCGCACTCCAGCGTGTGGGGCAGCAGCGGTGTGCCCAACCCCGAGTTGAGGAACAACACGGGAACCACGGCGCCTAACTCTGATTGACCTGCTCGAGTATATAAGTACGTATGTCAATCTCTAATACCCGCACCAGTCACCGTCCTCGTCAAACCCGTCGGTGACCAGTTTTTTTTTATTGCTTAGTTTGGTTGACGAGCTCAAAGCCAACCTGGTGTTAAGTGGTTACCGGAGCCCATAAACATCTACCTTGAGATATGAGTTCGAAGGTCTCAGAATAATTACAACGGCTGCCCCACCCTTCAAACCGAAACGCAATACTGCTTTACGGCAGAAATAGGCGAGGTGGTGGTACCTACCCGTGCGGAATCACAAGAGGTCCTACCACCAGTAAGAAAGTCGACGGGCGAGCCAAACCACAGACACAGCCCACTTCAGTTTCTCGCCAGATCTTCTCAGTGGGTCGCGATTCCGATCCGGTGGTAGATACTGTGAAGCATTGCTCTTGCTAGGGCTAGTGTTAGCAAGCTCTTAGGTTGAGCCTGTGAGCTCACCTACCCGTAATAGCGTAGCTGGAATATTCCCTTAGGCTACCAGAGAAAAGGTAGTAAAAAAAAGGACTCGTAACACAGAGAGTCCTAACTTGGGTTCAACTTACAATTGTTATGTGTTATATTAACCGATTTGTAAAAAATGAGGTGTTCTCCATTTGTTTTTTTTTTATTATTGCCACCTCCGATATTCTTTCTAGGATTTTAATGATTTTTATTTGAAATCGGCATCAAGTCTCATTTAAATTATAACAAGATCTTAATCTAGTGGAGATTTATGTTAACCTTTAAAATAACTAAGCAATAAACCTAGCCATAAACGTAACCTAAGCAATAAAAAAAATAAAAAATAAAAACCTTTAAAATGCATATTTATGTGACTTCAAGTAAATTGATTATATTTTAATTTTGTTTTTTCTTGAAGTCGGTTTTCCTTTTGCGTTATGTAAATTAGATGTCGAGGGATGCAAAGTTATTTGATATATGCCACATATAGCTTAATATGCGAAATTTATCTTTGTAGTTAAAGGTCCATTTTATTTAGTACTAGCCGTACTCGCCCGCTTCGCTGGGAATTTAAAATTAACATTATTATTTATTGTAATTATTATTAGGGAGTCCAACACTCATATAAATATTAGCCAATCCATTAACTACATGTATCTTCTACATAGATACCAAGTTTCAAGTCAATCGGATGCACGGTTCAGTAGTTATAACGGAACATCCGTAAAACCCACTGTAGATTTATATATTAGTATAGATTAGCATCAGCAATTCGATAATTTTAATTGAACTTCAATTAAGTTTACTCTATTCAAATAGCAAGAAGAAGTATTTTTGTTATGATATTTTTTTTCAATTTTTAAACTTTTAAACGCCTCTCCTGCAAAGTTGCAAAAATATCGCTTACACCAAATATATCTTCATTCCTCAGTATACAGTAGAGATGAAACGGATAGTGGTTTAGCCGGATACCGGATACCGAATGTTGTCGCACGCGAGCGGAGATCGCGACGACTCGGTACGACGACGATTTGGTATTTGGATTTGGTTAATGAACCACAATTTGTGTTAATTTTCAGTATTAAACAAACTAATTGATAAAACAATCACTTTTAACGTGCGATTATAGCCCATAACCTATTGTGGTATTATTTGCCTTATGTATATTATAACCATGAGATTTTCTTAAATTTTACTATCCGGCCCGGCCAGGTATAAACATGGCCAGATAGACCGGATAGTTACCGGACATCCGTTTCATCTCTAGTATATAGCGATTGGAATGTCACTCGTTTGTTTTTCTAGTAATACGAAATAAATTGCTTACGCGTAAGTTCAGTTATGCACAGGACCGGGAACCGATGGTCCCTCTGCTGTTCCAGAGGGGAGCGCCAGTGGAGATCTGCCACGTGGACTCTCCATCCTCTCTTGCGGGCCCTCACGCGGAGTCTGGCAGCGGCGCCGCACTGCAGAGCGCCCTTCTCCGCACAGCAATCTGAGAAAATTTTATAGGAAACTAGCTTTTGTCCGCGACTTCGTCCGCGTGGAATAGTTACTTTGGCATAACTAACTAAATTTTACCCGCCTTTTCATTTACGTAGAAAAGGAAAATATATTTTGAATAATAGAAGGATTATATTTTAAGTTCTCAAAAGGGATTAAAAGCCCGATTTGGAAACATTCTTTATTGATGCTCCGCTTGCATTGGTCTTAGTTTAATGTTATATAGCCTTCCTCGATAAACGGGCTATCTAACACTGCAAGAATTTTTCAAATCGGACCAGTAGTTCCTGAGATTAGCGCGTTCAAACAAACAAACTCTTCACCTTTATAATATTAGTATAGATGTAATGAAAAGTACTTTTAATATTTATTTATTCAACTTAATAACTTTACTGGTGGTAGGACCTCTTGCGAGTACGCACGGGTAAGTACCCCGCCTATTTCTGCCGTGAAGCAGTAATGCGTTTCGGTTTGAAGGGCGGGGCAGCCGTTGTAACTATATTAAGACCTTAGAACTCATATCTCAAGGTGGGTGGCGCATTTACGTTGTAGATGTCTATGAGCTCCAGTAACCACTTAACACCAGGTGGGATATGACCTCGTCCACCCATCTAAGCAATAAAAAAAGTATAGTTCGAATCGATTGGATAGTAAATTGTAAACAGAATATACATTACAATTTTCGAGCCCCTAATTTTCTGATTATTGCCGCAAAACAGTCCCAGTGTTGGAACTGTCGTCTCAAAGTAGCTGGTGACCCAGGACAAGTGGGCGAGCTAAGGTTCAGCCAGGAGGGGTGGGATTAGCTAACAGCAGCCCAAGCGCCTCCGAAGGAGACCTAACAACTTAAGAGCAGATACTTCGCGAATGAATCTACTACGCGACCCGCTGAGAATATTCGGCGAGAAACTCAGAGGGTTGATGCATGGGTTAGGTTGCACGCCGACCACTTTGTCGAGTTCGACGAGTACGGTTACCGGGATCCCTAAGCCTGCTCCTAGTGTTAGAGCTGAATGTGTCTAATGCAAGAGTTATTGTATCCGTAAAAGGACGTGTCTAGGGCGTTGACAGTGACTGGTTTCTATGTGATCAGGATTCAAGTGAGCTTCATCTACATTTAGAAGGAAACTCTAGCTGTACCCGTCCGCTTTGCTGGGCATTTAAAATTAACATTATTATTTCTCAACCCCACAAAGATTCTCATTATTAACGCCCCCACAACTGGTGTAGGGAGTCCAACACTCATATAAATATTAGCCTATCCATTAAGTACATGTATTTTCTATATGGATACCAAGTTTCAAGTCAATCGGATGCATGGTTCAGTAGTTATAACGGAACATCCGTAAAAACAACTGTAGATTTATATATTAGTATAAATATAAATTGCAGTCACCTTGGGAGTCAGCAGCGCACACGTAGATGAGCATTGCCCGTCGCCTCCGGGGTCGCTGTCCAGCCACTCTCCCCATGAGGCAGGACCTGTGTTCTTCGGGCAGAGTGGCGACATTGGCCGGCATCGGTGGACCTTCCACGTCCTCTTTTGGGGACGCGCATGCCACCGGCGAAGATAGCGATATAGAATCTGTGAAGGTCATTGTAAATTGGATTGATGTGTATTGCGAGGTTGAAAAGCACGATAGTACCGATATGCAGCTTATTCTTGCAGTTACAGGAGAAGTTAGATCAAGATCCTATCTTATATGGGTGGACGAGCTCACAGCCCGCCTGGTATTAAGTGAAACTGGGGCCCAAAGACATTTACAACATAAATGTCGCCACCCACCTTGAGATATGAGTTCTAGGGTCTCAGTATAGTTACAACGGCTGCTCCACCCTTCAAATCGAAGCGCATTACTGCTTCACGGCAGAAATAGACAGGGTGGTGGTACCTACACGTGCGGACTCACAATTGGTCCTACCACCAGTAGACTAAGCACAAGGGTGGAGGTACGTTATATTTGTATATACGTTAATCATGTCCGTGTGCTTAGGTAACCACTTAACAGCAGGTGGGTGGTCAGCTAGTTCACCCGTCTAAGCAATAAAAAAGATACATTCAAAACATTCCGACCAATCTATGTATCATATCAACACAATACATTCGTCGGAATTGATATTGTAGTAATGGCGTAGGCGTTCTCGTAGATGTTCTACGAATTTCGTAGCCATGACTACGGATCGGTGAGTTTTAATATAGGAAAAATAGCTTTCACTCTTAAACTGCCTACTAAATAATCATATTATATATTTAATGTTTTAGGAATTTGTATGTATGTTTGTTTTCTTCGGTTAACATCTGATAACGGAAACGCACGTCGAAAATACTCGACTTGTGAGGAATGTTCTCGACAATTCTAGGGGTGTCGTATCGACTATGAAAGCGTTGCAGAGATGGCACGAAGTCAGTCAGTAATCGGAACTACTCGAAGCGAAACAGCGAACGGATCGCCTGAAGCGAAACGGAACAAGCGAATTGAGAATTTTAAAGTGTTCTAAATGATATATACAATTTTAAGTTGTACTTTGGTGGAACATTTATTTATCCCGAACCCCAGCGCGTAACAAATACATATAAGTATATCTGTACAAGTGCAGTAGTTTGAGAAACATAATTACATATCTGTTGTCCGAATAAAAGGCTTTATTATTATTACTAGCGACCCGCCCTCGCTTCGCTTCGGAAACTGTAATTTATTATTGATTTCTCCACTATTTAATGGATGTTATTATACATATAAACCTTCCTTTTCAATCACTCTATCTATTAAAAACCGCATCAAAATCCGTTGCGTAGTTAAAGATTTAAGCATACATAGGGACAGAGAAAGCGACTTTGCTTTATACTATGTAGTGATTATTAAGTAGGTCCTGGAAGGATATTTCACGGCACCGACCTGAAACACTGCATCCTGTCGGACGCGGTCCTTTGAACTGCGGCTTCGTGTCTCGGACCGAGGGCGTGGGCTCCAACAGATGCTGCTCCGGCTGGGGAGGCGGCTCGGCGGTCGCGTCCACAGACGGCTTCGTCACGCGATACGAGGGCGATCTCCGCGAGCAGCAATTCGATCTGAGATAGCAAGAACTGGGATTTGAATAAATAATTTATCGTAGGAATTATAAAATCTCATGCAATGACAAGGGTAGAACTAGACCCTGTCCCAGTACTGGTGGTAGGACGTCTTGTTCGCTGGTGGTAGGCCGACACAGCCGACCTGGTGTTAAGTGGTTACCGGAGCCCATAGACATCTACAACGTAACGAATAACCGTGGTCGAATCCCGCAGGCGAGCACCAATTTTTCTAATGAAATACGTACTTAACAAGTGTTCACGAGTGACTTCCACGGTGAAGGAATAACATTGTGTTATAAAAATCGAACCCGAAAAATTATAATTTGCGTAGTTACTGGTGGTAGGACCTCTTGTCCGCACGGGTAGGTACCACCGCCCTGCCTATTTCCGCCGTGAAGCAGCAATGCGTTTCGGTTTGAAGGGTGGAGCAGCCGTTGTAACTATGTTGAGACTTTAGAACTCGTGTCTCAAGGTGGGTGACAGCATTTACGTTGTAGATGTCTATGGGCTCCGGTAACCACTTAACACACTAGGTCGTCCACCCATCTGAGCAATAAAAAATATATAGATATTTAGGAGTTAATTCCTTAAATGTCATATTCTCGTTTGAACAATAATAATAAATAACTGGAAATAACAAACCACGCATCTTCATTCGGTCTCAAATTAGGACTCTCCGTGTTATGGGTACCAGAGACTGACATACATACATATATACGTTTAAATATATACATATATAAAGAGATGTACAAAAACACCCGGACAAAGAACAAACAAACCAAATCACACGAATGTTTGCTCGATCTGGGAATCGAAGCCACGACCCTAGGCGCAACAGTCAAGAGTGCAAACTATCAACCACCACCGAGTCAGTCGATGGACAATAGATACTTTAGTTTAATTGAGGATTTTTATAAAATTCTAATAATGAGCCACAACGACGCGAAGCGACCACAACCCTTCAACGTCTAAAGACAACGAATGGAAAAGGTTGGAGGAGGCCTCTGCCGACTGGCAAACAGATCTAGGAAAGATAACCAAGCAAGAAATATTAGTTTACATTAATTCATATCTATTAAGTTTGAGATTTTAATGCTAGTATTTTTAAGTTTAAAAATTCATTGTACTAAAAGATCTGAATAAAAGGCTATATTATTATTATTATTAATAATGAGCCTACTTTTCCCTTGTCTCGTTAGGTTTGAGGTCTGAAATAAAATTATCGAAATAATACAAAAATTTGTCTCTTCATGGGAAGAGTGCTAATAAGATGAAAATGGGTGATGTCGTGAGATCGGTTCAAACGCGTGACGTCATTTGTGGTCAAACGTGCAAAGAGCTTACAAACGATCGTATACAACGTTTAGTAACTCAATAACAAGACACTATACTTTATTATTGGTGTTAAAAATGATTAATATATAGGTATAATTAGGTTTTGTTTAGTGATGACAAATATAAATAAAACACTTCAGCAAAATTAGTATATCTATTTTGAAATAAATAAATAAAAATTCGTTATAAGCGTCCGTCTAGTAAAACTTGTGCGTTTATTTAATCTATAGACTCAGTGAAGTACGTAACTAAATAAATATTATTAATGACGTCCATAAAAGTTCACGACTGACGTCACGAGAGAATGACCGGGAAAGATTTTTTGTATCCACCGAAAAGATTGATTCAATTAGTGAATCATTCATTTAATGAATTCATTTCTTTTGCTGGTAGGGGTAGACACGGGTAGGTGCCACCACCACTCTGACTATTTCTGCCGTGAACCAGTAATGCGTTTCCGAAGCCTTAGAACTTATGTAGAGACAGATGAGTGGACGAACTCATAGCCCACCTGGTGTTAAGTGGTAACTGGAGCCCATAGACATCTACAACGAAATGCGCCACGCACCTTGAGATATAAGTTCTAAGGTCTCAGTACAGTTACAACGGCTGCCCCACCCTTCAAACCGAAACGCATTACTGCTTCACGGCTGAAATAGGCAGGGAGGTGGTACCTATCCGTGCGGACTCACAAGAGGTCCTACCACCAGTAATTACGCAATTTATAATTTTACGGGTTTGATTTTTATTACACGATGTTATTCCTTCATCGTGGAAGTCAATCGTGAACATTTGTCAAATAAATGAGCAATGTTTGTTCCCTATGCGTTCCTCAATCGTGATCCGCAAATGTCCAAGGAAGGTTTCTGGTCTAGTACCATAATCGTGCAATAGATGGCGCTTGAAGAGTTTCAGGAACTCTATAGGCGTCAGGCCAGACTGCAGGGAAGTCGATTAATGGATGGGTCTTTAACGTCCCCGGCCACTGAGTCCGATATCCTAGGAACTCCCACGGCTCAGGAACTAGGTAGGAGGTTCGGCCCATTACCCGAAAAAAAAAGCTGTATGTCTGGCAGTGGATGTCCGTGATGATGATGATATAAATCAATTGGATCTAAATCTAAATTTGTAGCCCACTGAGTTTCTCGCCGGATCTTCTCAGTGGGTCGTGTTTCCGATCCGGTGGTAGATTCTGCGAACTGCTCTTGCTAGGGCCAGTGTTAGCAACCCTCCGGTTTGAGCCCCGTGAGCTCACCTACATGTTAGGGTGAAGCTGAAATAGCCTCTCAAGGCTATCAGCATAGGTAGTAAAACAAACAAACTTGCTTACAACGAAAACGTGGCACGAGATTGTTCCAAAAGCGTTTTAATCATATTCTATACAATAATTAAGGTATAGTATGTATTGGAGTAATATAGGGCGTGGTCGGGGGTGGAGCGCTGACGTCATAGTTCGTGACGTCACTGTGACGCGAGCGCCCCGACCTACTTTCAGAGTGCGTAATATTTGTACAACAAAGACTGTACCGTCGATCTGATATTGTACTCAGTCCTTTTGTATAAAATACTTAGGATTGAGGATATGGATAATCCAACCAATATATAATATATAGTAACACAGCATATATATGTTAGTCTGTATTAGGTATTGTATGGACAAGATGCAGGAGGGTATGCCGAGATGGTATCATCATCATCTTAGCCTTTACAGTCCAGGGTGGGCCTAAGCCATGTCTGGTATATCTCTTCAGACTGCTCTGTTCAGGATTTTCTCATTCGAGTTCTTGACACCGGTACCTTTGAGGTCGTGCTCTACGGCATCTACCTGCCACTACTTCTGCGGCCCTCTGGTTTCCATATAGTAGTATAGCCTTGGTATTCTGGTCTCCTCCATTTGAACTATATACCCTGCCCATCGTAGGCGTCAAATTTGGTATGATCATGTAAAAAGAGGGCCATAGGACTACGTTGGAAATTTGGCGCTGCAGCTCGATCTGACCGGTCGAAGACTTAGAAGGAGACCCAAGATGAGGTGGAAAGATATAGTGCTGAAGGACAACAGTGAATGCAATGTTACTGACAATTTTTTTTGGCTTACTCTCTCTGTCTCTTTCTCTCAATTACTAAAATCGACACTAATCAAAATGCTAAATAGAATAAAACTACGCATTTAGTAAAAAGTGGTTATTACAAACAGACACTATTTTATTTATTTGTATAGATGTGAACAAACAATAGAAAAATAAGGACATTTTTATGATGGATACATAAAAAAACCATGATAGAACAGACCTTCACCCGAAGAGATGATACACAAGGCTACTAAAAAACTATCCGATGATTTGCAAGCGAAGTAAATGGTCCCTTAGAAATAAGGTGACACTCCACAAAACTTGCATACGCCCCGTCATGACCAATACAAGTGTAGTGTTCGCTCACGCGGCCCGCACTAACTTAAAACCACTCCAAGTTCTATTCTATTCTATTCTATCAGCCCATGGACGTCCACTGTTGGACATAGGCCTCCCCCAAGCCTCGCCACAAAGACCGGTCCTGCGCTGCCTGCATCCAGCGGATCCCCGCGAACCTTAATAGGTCGTCGGCCTACCTTGTGGGAGGCCTACACACGCTACGTCTTCCAGTACGCGGTCGCCACTCAAGAACCTTCTGGCCCCAACGGTCATCCGTTCTGCGAGCAATGTGTCCTGCCCACTGCCACTTCAGTGTCACGATCCTTTGGGCTATGTCGGTTACCATGGTTTTCCTGAGAATCTCCTCATTTCTGATTTGATCTCGCAGGGAAACTCCGAGCATAGCCCTCTCCATTGCTCTTTGGGTGACCTTGAGCCTTCTCATAAGGCCCATTGTGAGCGACCACGTCTCAGTTAAATAGACAAAATAAAACAAATCACACAATTTCACTTCTCGCGTTCCCGCCAAAAAGTCCCATAAAATCCCTTATATATCATTGTATAGATTAGTTAACACAAATGCACGCAATAAACGTCAGTTAACGATGCGGTTAGTAAAGATTTCTCGAAACCAGAAGCAAAAGACAATATTATTCTTTAAAAATCAAGTAGGGTTAATTATATTATTTAAAAAAAAACAAAGAAAATAAGACCTGTCATTCTCTTTTGTCGTCAACGTGTACCTGTTCCAAATAAAATAAACATAAATAAGATAAGTGTAAATTAAAAAACACACACACACACACACCGAACATGGGATCGAAATCTAATTTTTTTTCTACCAAAGTTGGTAGCCTTGAGATGAATATGACGACAACACAGTTCACATTAATGAAATTATAAAAAAAAAGGGACTCACATAGGACTAGAAGGTTTCCCATGTTCAGAGTCACATCACGACTGTAAAAAGTTTACCCTATTGATACTTGGTCAGGAGGAGCTTTGGAGCGAAGTTGTGTAAATTTTTATTTTTTCTCAAATGCAGAGATGGGTAGACGAGCTCAGAGCCCGCCTAGTGTTAAGTGATTACCGGAGCCCATAGACATCTACAACGTAAATGCGCCACCCACCTTGAGATATAAGTTCTAAGGCCTCAGTATAGTTACAACGGCTGCTCCACCCTTCAAACCGAAACGCATCACTGCTTCACGGCAGAAATAGGCAGGGCGGTAGTACCTACCACCAGTACAAAATTATACTATATTATCATATAAAATTATTGTACTGTGGTTCTTGACGATGATATGTGTCAGAAAAGATTTCCAGAAACGCACTGTGGGTGAACGCGTCGGTTCTAGGTATTATGGATTTTAAACCGGCGCCCAGCGTGTGATAAAAATGTCTATGGAATTTAGTCTACTGTTAAGGTCTTTGGAAGTGCAAGCGTTCCGATGTGCGGAGTCAAATCTTCGATGCCCTGTACACTTACAAACATTAAAATAGGCGCAGTCCTCTATAATATTATCTTGATAATATATGATAATTTTTTCATTTCGCGAGTTTTCTGATTCTGCCATAATGCGCGGGTGGAATGCAGTTAGAAGTAACTGTCATTGCAGTTCATCATAATATCTTCGCATTTTCATCACCATCTTCATAATCCTAGCATCTTCGCGAACTACGAAAACCGGACAGGCCGAATAATGACATTCTCAATGACTATTGGTAACGTCATGTCTACCTACATGTAATTGAGCACTATGTCTGTCTGAAATTCTATAATATATTTTTTTAAACAACGGTATCCGATGTAGATTGTGGCGTATAGCGCAAAAGTTATTAAATAACTTTAGAATACAAGAGAGTATCGTAATTCAATTTCATCAAATACTTTTAATTTCAATATAACTTAGAAAGTTAATTTTATCCCGTAATTAATTCTTGGTCTGTGTGTGCGTGTGTATGTGTGGAGAAAATAATGAAATACAAAATCTTCTAAAACCTGTTATTATAACTTTGTACGCCGCGAAATTAACTTTGTTATCCTTCGGGCGTATAAATTTAAATTCTAATAACGAAAGTTACGAACGAACTTCATCTCGGACGCCGTGTTGACTTTGACAGATGTCAGTTTTGACAGATCACTTTTGACAGATTTTATGCTTGAGAATTTAACGGCAGGCCTAATTTGTTTTTGAAGTTAAAAAGCCTTGTTATTGGCTGTTCGGTATTTAAGTTGTTTATTCTGTGATATCCTGGTGTGTCGCTGGAGAGACCAATATTACTAGATAGGCAATGGAATAATTTAAAATAATAGATCTAGGAAAATCCAGATGTGGCAAGAGAGCCTTATTCTTATCAGAGTACAATATACATACTTATGGTTTTTTATTTTTTATTTATTGTTTAGATGGGTGGACGAGCTCACAGCCCGTCTGGTGTTAAGTGGTTACTAGAACCCATAGACATCTACAACATTAATGCGCTACTCACCTTGAGATATAAGTTCTAAGGTCTCAGTATAGTTTCAACGGCTGCCCGCGGGGGCCCGGGGGGTTTAGTTGGGGGGGGGGGGCAACTAAACCCTAACGCATTACTGCTTCACGGCAGAAATAGGCGGGATGGTGATACCTACCTCTGCGGACTCACAAGAGGTCCTACCACCAGTAACAGTTCAGTAGTTAGAGCATTATTCTACATATTTAACGCTAATAATATACCACTTGATAAAGCCAGTTAGTCTATGTACGTAGCATCTAACAACCTCGTCGAGTGAATAGAGGCGCGAGGCATGTATTTTGTCACAATTCAAAGACGACGTAATTACATTATTGTTACCCGACTTACCGGTTTAGGGTTGTCTCTCAAGTGTTTTATTGTGAATATTGAACGGTGGCCGGTAAGAAGAGGATGAGGAGAGTCGAAGACAGGGCTTAGTAGTGGGGATTGGGAGAGGCCTATGCCCAGCAGTGGACGACTGTGGGCTGATGATGATGTTGATAGCTGTATGAGATTTAGAGCAAGATTCGGCCACTCATATCCTACTGGATAAATTTACATTGGTAATGTGACGGGTAATTTTTTTTTAAAGGTCGTGTTGCGGACCCCTTTGCTATTTTGATAGCTGATGTAGTTTTTCATTCTTCTCTTTTGACGTTGCCTGTTCATATTACCTATTTCTTTATGTTTACTTAATTTTCTGTTTTTATTTTAAAAAAAAATCATTCTTCAACTTGTATCATCGTTTATCATTTACAGAGATTAATTTGGTTTTTTCAATTCAGGTGGTTTTTGAAAAGTGTCTAGGGTTGCTCGGAAGTATTCAGCTACGTATCAATGCTATCCGTACTCTTCGAATGGCTTACCAAGCAGTAAGTATGCCATTATAGACGGTGTTTAATGCCGAATGTTTATTTAATTTACGATTTTGAAACAACTAGAGGACCCGCAGTAGTCGAAATTCGACTATAATTAATTGGAATTGTAAGTTTGTACACTATTATAATATGATTGTATTTTATACTTCTATAATCACAATTTCGCCAATACAAACAATATTTAATCTATTCTCAATTTGACCACAGACGTCAAATACATGTTATGTAGTGTGTGTAATGTTTTCTTTATTGATTTAATGTATCTTTTATGCATTATTTTAAAAAAATATTAGAATTGTACACTTCTTCTCTATATTCTCTATAAGTGTGGAAAATTTCATACTCCTCCGTCCGCGCAATTTTCGTAAAAAGGGATACAAAGTTTTTGCTTCACGTATTAATATATAGATACTACGGCTGTCAGCCCGCATGGTATAGCTTCGACGTCACGCATACCAATGTGAGTGTCAGTTGTCTGCGTAACCATAATTTTAATGCAAACGAGACTTAAGCTGTGTGACAAGACTTTTATAAATATTACACCTATTTACTCTAAGATCTGAAACGTCCATGATCTTATAGTTAGGAAGCAGTTAGGAAGCAGAAGTAACAGCAAATGGCAAATGTTTGTCTTCTGCTCATTTATGTCAAAAAATATTGTTTTCGAATTAAGGTATGATTATACAGTTGAACCACATTTAGTGACAGTCTGCCATAGCTGATGTCCATGAGCCAAGGTAACTTACCATCATGTGAAACGTATGCCAGGGCCCTGAAACTGCGATACTTTAAGACAATTATTTTTTCTGTATGGAAACTAGCGACATCTTGTAGCGGTTGCCCCTAAACTTATATGTTGTTAAAGTTAAGGCATTTAATTATGGTATAATTAAACACAGAAAATAAAAAATTAATAAATCACACAAGTCTTTATTTGCTATAGACAAAATGATTAATTTTTATCAATTTGTGGTTTCTGATAATTTACAAAATCCTTCATATAAAATAAAATATAGGCAATATGTTACTGCCATCTACAGGAGCAATGAGAAACTAATTGAAGCGAAGCCATCTAGTGGCCAACGCCTGTAAACATTTTTGTTGAGTACTTGAGTTGCTTATCTATAACTAATTTATGTGTATTATCTATGCCGCATGCTCGTCTGCCTAAAAAGAAATAATAAAAATCCAAATAGCGTCATTAACAAACAACAAACCATTAGTGTGACAACGCCATCTAGGAGTGCGTAATAGAACTAAATAGTACGAACTAGGTCGTAACATTAATCTTATCGCGCGAACGTTCGCCTACCTGTGCCATAGTATGTATACGAACGCTGTAATAGTGAAATTGAATTTATTTAGTACAGCTCAGACAAATCTATGTATATACAGGTAACCCTCCTATAGCGCGGTAAATGGATTCCTATAAAGACCCGTGTTGTGCGATACCGTGTTATAAGAGACTCGAAGCCGATACAAAAAAGAGAGTGTTTTTTATGAATGAAACATCTCAACTGTGCCTTTGTGTATTTTTGTACCTATTATACATAAATAATAGGTAAGAAATAAAATTTCGGCTATTACCATATCTATATATTAATACGTGAAGCAAAAACTTTGTATCCCTTTTTACGAAAATTGCGCGGACGAAGGAGTATGAAATTTTCCACACTTATAGAGAATATAGAAAATAAGTGCACAATGCTAATTTTTTTTTTAAATAATGCATAAAAGATACATTAAATCAATAAAGAAAACATTACACACACTACATACCATGTATTTGACGCACACAGGCATACTGACTATTTATTGTCAAACTTTGGTTCTTGACGTCTGTTGTCAAATTGAGAATAGATTAAATATTGTTTGTCTTTGTTAATATTCTTTATAGTGTAGTCTTGGCGAAATTTGTGATTATACAAGTACCTATATAATACAATCATAATAGTATACAAACTCCAATTCCAATTAATTATCCCGCAGTAGTCGAAATTCGACTACTGCGGGACCTCTAGTAATGTCTATTCGTCGTGCTTAATTTAATTTTCTTAATAATTCTACACAAAAATCTCGTTATCATGTTATAAGAGGGTTATAGGGAATTTTTCTTTTCATATTAAAGTGTAACCGTGTTGTGAAATACTGATAAACCGTGTTAATGGAAGGTATCCTGTTTTTTTCTTTCTTTTTTCTACCTATTCTAGTAACCTAGAGGGGTTATTCTAGATTCACCGAACTAGTAGGTGAGCTCGCGGGGCTCAAAGCTGACGTTGTTGCTAACACGAATCCTAGCAAGTGCCATGCTTCGCAGAATCTACCACCGGATCGGAAACGCGACCCACCGAGAAGATCCGGCGAGA